TGGTCTTGAACTGCAGAGTTGAAATATGTTCTCTTGGCGTGGGAGCCTGGGTAAAGGGCATGTGGGAATCTATATTAATTTTTATAATAGCAGGTAACTCTAAAATTATTTCAAAAAGATTTCAAACATCAAGCCATAGAACATTATAGCAGGACTGGAGATAAGTGGATCTCACCTGACCACTTGTTAACTTAAGCTGTTTAACCTTCCTGAAACTCAGTTTCTTCCCCCGCTGTAAAGTGGGGAGGTGAACATCTACCTAGTGGAATCATTGGAAACATTAAATGAGATGTGGCCCTTGCACCATGGTTGGGAATCCGTAAGTGTTGGCTATCTGCCCCTGTGCACAGTCCCCTTGGTTCTAGAGGAGAAAGAAAGGCAAACAGCCTACTGCAGCTCTCCTGGAGCCCAAAGCTGGAGATAGTTCAGCAGTGCACATCAGCAAGGAGAACCCATAGCAGTGTAGTGAGTAATGCCGTTACATAAGTTTCACAAATCACCAGGCAGATCAGCTAACAAGGTTTGGCACCATTTACCAGTAAAATAAAATAACAGAGCCGCTTCCAAACCCAGTCCCAGTGCAGCAGCCGGAATCGGAGTCTACGATAACTCCACAGGCCTTGGAGTTTTACAGTTTAAGTTGACTCATCTGTGTAAGGGGAAAAAACAAAAGTGATGCCTTCCTGGCTGGCCCCCTGAAGGGCTGTCCCTAAGAGGCCTTAAGAAAATTTCCTTTCCTTGCAGGATTCTTAATCATGTCTTCCAAATGTGAGTTTTCCATGCAGCTGCATGGATAAAGAAATAGGGAGCAACTGTGGAGAGCAGTGCATTCCTAGACATTTCTCAGTCCTTGGGGATATGATTGTCGAGTGAACAGCCAAAATGTATCTATCACAGGTCTTCTAAAATGCTTATAGTTTCCCAGGGTTGTGTCTGTGCCCTTGATCATGGTGAGTGGTTTATCAGTGAGGTGGGTAGAAACACGGAACATAAACTTAGCCAGATTTCTAGTGACATCGTGGTGAAAAGAGGTTAGGAGGCAGACTGGCTGATTGGACTCATCACACTAAGTTGTAATTTAATAGGGATAATGTTAAAATCTATCCTTCAAAATCAAAAGGAGAAATACAAGTTCAAGAGAGGCTTAGATTGGCAAGAATTTTATATGAAAAAGGTACAGGAATTTTATTGGACTGCAAGAAAGATATGGATATAGGTAAACAGTGTGATGTGGTGGTAGTTATAAAAGGGTTTAGAAATCAGAAAGAAAGTAACCTTTCTTCTTTGTGTGAGTTATGTTAGTCAGACCATATGCATTATATTGTAGTCAGATCTAAGGACCTGGTTTAAAAATAATGTTGATAAATTAGAATGGATCATTGCAGAAAGGAATGAAAAAGAAAGGCCAAATTTAAAAAGATCCAAAAGATACGTTGTCCATAGATTAGTTGAAGAAGATTAAGTACATCCAGCTGATTACTGCTGTTTTGAAGTTCCCATATGGAAGAGGTGTAAACTCTTTTGCTATGAAAGGGGAAATGGGATTAGTGAGAAAGAGAGAGTTTATGGAAACAGATTTTGGCTCAAGAGAAGGAAAAACTTTCAAATAATTAGAGTAATGCAATGATGGAAAGAACGATTTCATTAAATTGTGAGCTATCTGTTGCTGGAACTATTCGAACCAAAGCCAAATGAGTGTTTGCCTGGGATTCTGATAGATCCTAGCATGAAGCAAAAGCTAGAGGTAGGTGACCTTTAAGATCACATCCAACTTCCATAGTCTATGACTTAAGTCAGGGTGAATGCCAAGGCTGCTTATGACATGCCAGAGCCACTTTTTCAACTCTTGGCCCTGGTGCTGACCAGCTGTGTGACCTTCAGCTAAAAAAAAATTAACAAATTAATCATGTTTTTGCCCCGGTTTCCTCTTCCATAAAATGAGGAAGCTGAATTTAATGTTGTCTAAGTTGCTGTCAGTGCACCTGTTGTATTATGTGTTGAAAAAGAGACTTGGGACTGATACTGGCCATTTTCTAAGTCTGCTTGCAAAGAGGAGGCTTAAAGAGCCAAACCATTGGTAATTTTGTTGGCCTTTGAGCTAAATTCTCAATTCATTTGTTGGCAGGAGCAGGGGATTGTGAACCTGGAGTTTGTTCCCTGAGAGCTTTACCAGGAAGTTGATCAAATAATTGGGAATCTGATTCTTCTCAAACACCTGTACATTCGGCCTGAGTTCAAATGCCTTTGCAAACAACTTATGAAAAATGAAGATCATATTACTATTGCAATATAGTTTTTTACAAAGGAAACCTTTGTTTTTTATTTGCTTAGTGATATGCCAATTGCTATTGAATTTTGTTCATAGCCATAAGAACAAATGCTCATAAAGCAACTTGCTCTGTGGCAGATTTGCTCTAAAAGTTTTGTACAAATAAATTTATTTAGTTGATTTATGAGATGGAAATCACATAATGAATCTGTAGGTTATATCCTGTTCCCCAAATGGTAAGGAAGTGATAAAAATCTTGTTTTTGTGTCTTAATGGTCAAGAGCTGTTATTCTGAGGCTTCATTGTTCAATGACTATAAGTTTTTTGTGGTCTCTTTGATCACTAATAAATTTCTTCTCTGCTTGTGTTAAGGTACTTCACTTCTACCACTATTACCTTACAAAGCCCTCTTTTTGTTCCTTCTTTGACTTTTACAATCACATTGCTGTTTCTAAAATCCTGTTTCTTCAGTTACTGTTTTCTAAAGATCATTGGCCATTTAACCATCAGTGCAAGTGTCCTTGTTTGCTTTGATACAGATCTAGAAGATAAAAGGATTTAAGGTTTCTGAGGTCAGTGGGGGAAGAAATACGAAAAGTTACGCTGTTTGTGATGAGGTGAAGAATTTAAAACTTTTTTCCTTGGCCGGCACGTCTGGCTACACTCACTCTATCCAAATACAGTACCACATTTTCTTCCATCTCCTTCTTTCCTAAGGTTGGAAATGAAAACAGCTGTTAAAAATAAGAGCACATGACTCAATCTTGAATCGCAGTGTAGTAATTACAGTTTCCATCTCATTTGGTAAAGTCCCTCCCAGCGTTCTGAGCACATATTGTGATCCCCTTGTGGGGAGAACACTATCAGTGGTATTGTCAATTTTACAGCAAGATCTTAACATTTTGTTTTCCAGACCTCTGAGGTTAAGCACAAAATCAGTTGTTGAGCCAAGAAAAATTACAAAGTATGAAGTACTTTGGTTTGCAAACTTGGTGCTTGGAACATGCCCTTTTTTTGATTTTTTATTTTGACTAAATCTTTCTATTGATATTACAAATGTCAGTTCTTGGTCCTCATTTTGGAAAGGGGAGTTTCTGGACTTCAGAGTATCTTCATTGTGGAGAATTTTGTTTGAACTCTCCTAGAGGTTATACCCTGATTGTATACCCCAAGTTTCTGAGGCTTGTGATCTTGTAAGCAAATCTCAAGAGTTCTATCCACAAACTGTTGACTGTTGCCTTGCAGAGTGGGTTGATTCTCTTTTAGCTTTGCTCAGTCCCCTGTATCATGTAGTCCTTTTCCATGTAATCTCATTGTTTAAATCGGTGATGGTGCCCCCTGTGATTCAGTGCCTTCGATTGACCAGTCAAACATCACCCTATAAATGCAGATTGCATCCTACAGGCATGAGATCCTTGTTGCAAGTGTGAGCCTAGCCTGGGGAAGTTAGTGACTTACTGAGACCCTGTCTCAAAATCAAAAAAACAAAACAGTGGGTTGGGGATGCATCCCAGTGGGAAGGCCCTGGATTTAATTCCTGGTACAAAATAAAAGAGTACTCTGTGCCCTTCAGTCGGAAAGGTCTTAAAATTGTCTTTTGCTCACTTCATTTCTCCTTTCTAAGATTTGTTTTCTTTATTATTTGATTGAATTCTTTCCTTCTTTCTTTCTTTTCTTCTTCCCTTTCTTCTTTCCTGGTTTCTCAAACTCAGAGCCTCATATAGCCAACCACAAGCTTTGCCACTGAGCAACATATCCCTGATCCCAGTTAGATTATTTTTAAGTTCATTTCCCCACTAAGATTTCTACAAGTCTATTATTACTGTTTTCTAAGAGCTAGCTATGTATTGGAAAGGAAGACACATGAATGGAATCATCCCAAATTCCACTATTGGATATTTATTCCTTTATTGTGGGGTATTACTTCTCAGATAAAACATTATAAAGTCCAATATTTTTGGGAGGACAAACCATAAATTAGTATGCAAGGCAGTGCCATACAATGATTAGAAGGAGGCATCAGACTGCCTGAATTCTCACCCTGGCTCCGCCATGAGCTAGCTACTGTATGACCACAGGCAATTAATTTACCCTTTTGTGCTTCCATCTCCAGATCTGTAAAATGTGAGTGATACTTTCTTCATGAGTTTTTGTTAGGTCTCCATGAAATAGGTAAGGTTTTTAGATGAACAGTGGCCTGGTACACAAATGTTAGCAATAGTTGTCTTCTGTTGCAAAATTAGCATACTACGTGATATCCTTTTGACAAATATCTGGTATCAGATTACAAAGAAATTAGTTTTCACAAAAGGTCCTGTTGCTGGGTAGCCTGTGTGGGGAAATGTTACAATTGGTAGAATAAAGTTAGTGGATATGTGGATGAGAGAAGAGAAACATGTATGAGAAGGAGAGATGAAGTTTTTTTAGTAGCAACCACTATGTACAGGAACTACAAAGGTAGTCAGCTAAGATGGTGAGCAAGTAATGTGATGTACACTTGAAAATGAACTTAAGTGCTTGCTTAGATTATTTTATGTCTCATAATTTCATGCCTTGCTATAGATCCATGGTGGGGAACTGTTTAGACAGCCCGCTGCAGTGTACATGCCATAGGTTTGCCACCACTGCTGAGGATAATATTAGAGCTCTGAATTATCACACTTGAAGAATTGTACAAAAATATAAAATAGAGCATTTCATTTCGCTAAGCGCCCCTTCCTCTTTCCTTTAGATTACATGAAGCAGACGACATTTGAAGCCCAAGCCTTTTTAGAAGCAGTGCAGTTCTTCCGACAGGAGAAGGGTCATTACGGCTCATGGGACATGACTGCTGGGGACGAAATCCAGGTAACGTGGGGCTCAGAAGTTTGGATCCTGTCTCCTTCTGGGCAGTAGGAGCTCAGAGTCATCTTGCAGTCAGGCATCACAAGGAAAACAATTACATACAGGACAATAATTTGTAGTATTATTTACAGTAGTCACTGAGGAGTCAAATAGAAAGAAAGTGCAGGAAATCTGTCCCCACACTAACGACATAGAAAATCCAGCCAAGGGTCTAGATCCCATGGCAATAGCTTACATGAGTTCAGCTGTAAACCTAGAGCCTGTGACAGTGTCTCCTACAAGTCCAACTGGAGGCCTAGAGCCCATGAAAATGACTCATGCAAGTCTATTTCATGAATCAACACTGGGAAGACCCAAGGGTCAGCGGTGGAAGATGCAAAGTCTATGCCAGCCAGTTGGTACAATCTTTGCAAGTAGGTTGAGGGTTCTGCACTGGAGCCAAGAAGTTATGCTCAAAATAAGGACCAGAGCACTCCTGAAAATTAGCACAACCATCTTCAGCAACAATGAGGTGCTGAGCTCCTCAGACAATAAGAACAGCCAAGCTCATATCAGGAAGCCAGTGTGACAAGCATCTCCGGGAAACTGAACAGCACACGTCTTCCCAGCCAGGAAGTGATGCTCAAATTAAGGACCAGAGCTCCCCAAAGTGAACCACAGCCATTCTCAGCGACAAGGTCCCAGGCTCCTCCAATGATAATGCAGAGTTTATTTTAGGAAAGCCAGCATGACAACCTCCTCCAGGAGAACCAGCAGCTCCAAATAACAATGCCACAGAGAACCAACAACACTAATTTCTCCCTCTCCAGTTCTCCTTGTATATTTGCAACAATCCTCGGGTGGGCCCCCAACTCAGCACCATACTGATTCAGTTCAGCTGGTGTTAAGTTGACCACCAGTTTTTAATTCGCCACATAAATGATCAGAAAAAGTTGCAAGAATGAAAGATACAGTTTCAAAGACCAACTCTCCTACTGCCTTGAAGGGTTTAGTCAGCAAGCTATTGCACACCCAGTACAAAGAGCACTGGACCAAGCATTACACAGGGTAACCTGAAACACAGCAAAAACAGAGGAGAAACTGATCCCCTTCCCTCTCATCCCCACCTCTTTGAGAGGCTTCTTGAATGATCTTGTGCTTCCTAATTCAAAGAAATGTAAGGAGTGAGGTGTCATGCAGTATGTGAAGGGGCATCAGGGTTGTCAGACCTCCGTTTAAGTCTTGAAAATTATTTAGTTTCTTTTAGTCTCAGATTACTTCCCTGGCAAAAGTAGGAAGAATAAAGTTTACCACTCAGGGTTGTGAGAATTAAGTGAGATGTTATTGAAGTAGTATTTGGCATACTGTTTCTTTGTCTATTGAATAACCTGTAAGTGAACTAATGAATAGAAACAAATTCAAATCTCATTAGCCAGTTTTCTATATGTCTCCAATTAAGGACCAGAGCTCCCCAAATGGTAAACCACCTCTAGTTTTTTGTCCTCTGTGGTCCCCTATAATTTCCCATGATCCTGATGAAATGCTGATCATGCCCTGAGTACATTGGCAGGCTTGATCTCAGTCAAGGACAGTGTTGCAAATCCTAAAGGAAACCATTCATGCTGTGACCCCAGTCTTCATGATAATACCACTTACATGGCTGATTTGGCTAAGAGGAGGCTGAGTATGGGCATTATTAATTTAGGAGATCACATATGTATTCATTTGTCATGTCTCTTTGGGGTCTGCTGGAATTTTTTTATTAGGAAATAATATTTGAAAGGTTTCTTAGCCTCTATCTGGTCATTCAACAACAAGAGCCAAACATTGTCTTACGATGGTGAAGCTGTTCTTTATTCTTTTGCCACCTGAACCAAAATCTCCTCTTTTTTGGATATATTTGAAGTGACTTAATTTTCCAACCTGCCAGTTTTCAGTAACTAACATTTTGGGAAGCATAGCTGTTTGCAAGTGTGAGAAGATTAAAGGGTACAGTACTTACACGCACACACACACACACACACACACACACACACAGGAATAAAACAAAAGAAAGGGAACATTTAACACTGATTGGCTCTTGTTTTATAACCCAAAATATTTAATCTTGCATAGATATTTAAAATACAGACCAACACTAAAATAACATTTACTATATAGAGCAAATTTTCTGTCTTAACAATCACACAAATTGGGGAGGACAGTTATTATTTGTCTTTTGTAAATTAGAAAATCAAGGGAAATATGTAAGAAGTAAGTTGCCTAGTTATTTCATTCAGTAACTATTTATTGAGCATTTACTATGTTCCAGATTCTATACTTGATGATAGTGATCCAGAAATGATCAAGATAAGCTCCTGCCTCATGAAGCTGGTAGTTTCACAATCACATATTAAGTGGACAGAGGGCAAACCAAGTGATATGCTTATGTCTCCTGAGCCAGTGGAAGTTCAACATCCATGGGGCTATATTGAGTTATATAGTCATTATCCCCATGAGTTCAGCTAGGGCATTGGCTTGATATTTTTCTTCCACTTGAAATCTTGTATCAGTTCACATTCATTCATGATGCCATTGAAAATAGGTACATAATAAATGCTTTCTTAAGGGGTTGGATGTTTTTTTCCTATTTTTCCTTCAGGTTGATAAATGCTTAGTGTTATCAGATGAAAGAGAGATAGATGACTTATCTCTTGTGCTTGTGCTGAGGCCAAGCATAAATAGAAAGCATCAAGAAGTCCAGGCAGCCATCTGCGTGTGAATGGACATGTGCATATGCAAGGTCTCTACACATTAGACTGTCACAAGATGTTAGTTAAGGTGCTGATTTTGCAGTAAAAAAAATACTGTGGGAAAACAAAAGAGAAAAACAAAACAAAAAATAAAAAAGAGCTCTATCAATGCAAGAGTCATCAAGTAATGAGTAAGACATTTGGTTCCTCCAGGAATCTGAGTATCTTTGAGGAAATCACCAACTTATAAAGTGAGCTTTAGAAGGTCGTTTCGGAATTGTTTGTGTAGCACTCACTAAGTGAGAGAAAGAGCATTCAGAGAGTTTAACTGAAGTTACAAACAAATTTGTACCTGAAACACATGTTGAACCAGCTTAGAGAGGTTGGTTTAAAGGCAATGCTTCTAACATGTTCCTGTGTTTCCTGATAAGGAAGGTTCTCCATGAGCTCTCTACAGAGCAGAACAGTGCGGCAACATAATCCGTAGCTTGATAGAAAGAAAGATCTGGGTCCAAAGGAGTTTTCCAGTAGCCACAGAAAATGACATAGCATAACTTCAGAATATGAGTTTTTAAAAATTTAAAGCCTCAGGTTTGCTTCCATATTTCCTTCCTACCTTCCTATCTTCCTAATCATAACTCTTAGTCCCTTCTACTTTAGGGACTTATTCAAAAGATTCTCAGCCTTCTGACATTATTTTCTTCATAGCAATGACGCATGCAGCAAATGTGGCCATCCCTGTGGTGATGATTACTTTAGGCAAGGATCCAGGCAAAGCAGTTTCTCAGAATAACTCGCCCAACAGACGTTAAGGTGAAAATATTTATATATCAGCAAAAACCTCAACGTACTTTTACTTTTGTTGTTGTTGTTGTTACCAGGGATTGAACTGAAGGCCTATGCTTGCCTATCCCCAGCCCTATTTTCTACCTGTTGATATAAATGTATCACACATGAGATCATGTGGGAAAGCCCTCCGCAAGATATAAAATATCTAAGGTTATTTGGTATATTTATGGCTCGCCTTTAAATTAGGCAGAGGGTTGAGATAAGAGCTCATAATTCCCATAGAACTTGGTGGTTTCAAGACAAGAAAAGTATCTGTATTGTGGGTCTTGTCCATTCCTACCAGAACTGCCTTCTGTTGAATGATGACCCTCTTTAAGTAGATTCTTTCACCCATAGTCCTTCAGTTAGGGCCAGGTGCCAAGGGCTAATAGCCTGCCCCAGGAATCCGGGAGTGTCTCTGGACCTCCCACTTTCTTTGCAGCTCCAGCACCTGAGAGAAGCACAGTGTACAGTGTGGCCTTCAGTGAGTATAGTCTTGGTGTTTTGGCTTTGATCTATCTAATGGTTTTTTTTTTTTTTTTTTTTTTTTTTTGTCTTTTTGAGACAGGGTTTTGCTATGTAATTCAGTTAAACTCACTTTGTAGCCCAGACTGGCCTCAAAGTCACAGTAATCTTCCTGCCTCAGCTTCCCAAGTGCTGGAATTACAGGCATGTGCCACCGTGCCTAACTTTAATTTCTCATATGTGTGATGAAATTTTTAAGTGTCCACATCCTCAGCAATTAAGTTTGTCCACACATTCCCTCCTTTTTTAAAAAAAATCAAAATTATACTTTTGATTCTTACAGTAAAACTCACTAAGATCCCATTTTGTGGGGAAGAAGATAGAGAAGTCCTTCATTATTATTTATTGGATTAGCTACTATCCCTAGAAAGGTCCAAGGGCTTAGGCTGTTGGAGAACTAGCCAAGGTGGGGAAATCCAGAGTAAGTCCTGGACAGGTGAGGCAGCATGTGGTCAGGGTAGAACAAGGCTACAAGGTTTGAGGACAAAGAGGATGTTCCCGGGTGAGACACAGATGGCTGCAGCCTGTATAGGCTCTGCTCTGTGGCTGAGTATGAGCCCTCCCCGCTTCAGCTCCCTGGCAACACATTCCTACTGGCTCTTTTTTCCCAGACATACTTGCTTTTCAACTCCCTAAGTTGTAAAATAGAACCAAATTTCTTGGAGCATTGTATGGGAAAGGCTAAAGAAAACTGTAATAAGCCCACCCAAATGGAACTTTCTTTTTCTTTGGCCTTTGTCCACAACATTTGTATCTTTTTAAAATCTGTTTTAAAATCACACTCATGCTATAATTCAAACCAATCTCTACAAAAGAATGAATGGGGACAAAGATTATTATTCTTGAGTTTAATACTTTTCAGCCAAGATAGTATTGCCCATTGGTTGTAAATTCTGGCTTAGCTCCTCTTCATTGCTGCCTGTGGGCCAGTCCTGGACCTTAGCGTTCCAAACAAGTCTACAGACCAGCATGGGGCCCATGGATTACTAATTGCTTATTGAATCTAGCTGTTGGACCTGCACATTTCCATGGAATTTGCACATGTTATTTCTCCTAAAGTCATCGGAAAAATGATAATATCTCTTGACTGCCCCCAAAGAATGCCTGAGAAAGATAAACAGCCCCCTCAATGAATTATCAAGGCTAATAGAAACCCTGTTCCCATTATAATCTTCATCACAGTAGGCAGAGCCACAGTACAGATAGCAGGGACCCCACTTGCACCAAGCTGAGCAACTATCTCTCAGGAACCTGGAGACACAGCAGGGTTGGACAGCTCATTCACGTCCACCCTGGAAGTCGGTTTGTTCAGATCAGCTAACATACCTCACCCTACCACAAGGCACTGCTTAAAGCAAAATCCAGTGAGCTCATGAATATTACCAGTACCATGAGGCCAGTGACCCCAGAAAAAGTCTTCCTTAATTCCCAAAGTATAAGTTGAATTTTTCTGAGAAGTGAAAAGGAAGCGAATTATTTTAAATAAATGTTATGTACATTTCACACACACATGTCTCAAGTGATTCTCTACTTCCTTCTTGTTCCCAGTCCCACTGCTCTCGCCCTTTCCTAAATCTTAACCCATGGCCTTCTGCTGAAACCTGAGCTGTTCCAAGCCAGGGAGCAGCAGGGAAGAAAGACAGGCCAGTGTTAGGGAGAGGACTTGTAGGACACTACTCAGATTTAAAAGATAGGTCTTCACTGATCTAAGCAAAATTTTAGAAGATAGCCCAGAAGACATTTTTTTTTAAAACACCCTTAAAAGTTTAGATAGATTCCAGTATTCTCTTTACCTTGCAAATGTCCAATTGTTTTAGGTATTTGCTTTCTTTTTTCTTCCTTTTATAAAAAAGTGGATCTAGATTTATTAAATAGAGTCTTCATAAACAACTATCATATTTCCAGCAGAACATGCACTGATAATTAACAGTACCCAATAACTTTTAAATTTCCTTCTTCAATTATAAAACCTAGCAAAGTTTTCATTCAATGTTAAGAACAGAAAGAACTTAGAGTGAAGGTTAACATTTCACTTTGAACAACTTTTCACAAGCCAAGCCCAGCCTTTGAGGAATAAAAGCTGCAGAATTATCTATCTGAAGACCCACTGTCAAGAAAATGAACCATTGTTCTTTTGAGGAATGTCATTTTACTGACATCACTAGGAAGTCCAGATTGCCTGGTAACCAGTTTTGGATAGAAGAATCCAACAGGTTTCTGAGCTTTAGGAAGTTAACTTCTGCTGAAAGCCTAGAGAGAGGAGAACTTGGAAACTAATTTTAGTTTTTCCTCACGGAGGTGTTTGTGCCAAGGTGTCTGTGTAAGACATTGTCAGGGAATCCCTCCTGCTGGGAGCTAAGAAAAGATTCTTTACAACTAGAAGGAAAAAGTGTTTCCCCCATAGCCTTCTAGCTTCGGAGATGTGTATTAATGAAATACGCCTCTCCTCCAAAACAGTGGTGAAATAATCCATGTGCTAATAACATAGCTATAAGAAAGAAAAATCAAATTCTGTGGTTTACAAAACTTCATAAAAATTAGCATTTCAGTCGCCAGAATCCATAGCCATTAAAACTACATCTACTCCACTTGGGCTTTTCAGCTTCAGCTTTCTGTCCGGCCCATTTTGGTGTCTTCATTTCCTGTAATTGCTCCTGCTCTTGCTGGCATTAGCTGTTCCTTTTTCCTCATCGGGCACCTTTTCTTCCTTCTCAGTTGTCTGTTTTGGACTTGGGCTGTATCTTTGGAGGAGCAGTTTTAACTGACAACTTTGCAGATTTCTAGGACTCATCCATCAGCTTGGCTTGATCTCCCTCAGTCTCTTTGGGCTTTCTCTTGGCCATAGTGGTGATAGTATGGGGAATGCATGACTGGACAGGAGGATGCAGGGTGCTTGGGCTTTGATCAGTCCAGGTGGGTTGTCCTTACCCTGTTTTCTTCACACTTCTCCTTCTTTCTTTTTTAAAATACTATAGAGCAATGATGGCGAACCCTTTACAGCTTCCAATAATATAAACAGCCCATTGCGGCATATGTGCTGTAGGTTTGCCACCACTGCCACAGAGGGTGGAGCTGATGTTCAGAGGACAATAAGGAAAATAAGAATAAATACACTTAGATAATGATGGGGTTTGAGGAAGAATGATAGTTCCAGGATGTCTTGATTACTTTTCTCTCACTGCTGAGACAAAATATCAGACACCCAAAATTAAGGAAAGAAAGATTTATTTAGCTCACAGTTTGTGGAGGTTTTGGTCCATAATCAGCTGGCTCAAAGGCAGGGTGGCGTGGTACAGGGGCAATTTTCAGGTGATGGAAGACAGAAAAAGCAACCAGTGCAAAAAGGGAGGAGTATGAAAGCAAGCCTTTTTCCCATCCTTGTATCGTATGCAAGCTACCCACCCTAGTGTGGGTGTAGCACTCACTCATAATCCCTGTATTGGACCATGAGTCAATCACAGACCCTAGAAGCCCACCCACCCCCACTGCATGAAGCTTTGGGGGGACATCTTGACAAAACATAATGCAGGGAGTACTCACTAGGACTGAAGCCATCAAAAACAAGCCTGACTCTGCATAATTTTACTACTGAACCCCTTGGCCATTATTGAAATCTCTTCTTGTATTTTAAATGCATTAGGTCCTTCTAGTTTGACTATGAAAACTCTGATTTTGAAAAATTTGTTCTTTCCATTGGGGATAGCAGTGGAAACATGTCAGCGGATGTTTCTGTTCTTTGTGACTTTAAGAATGTTTACCCTCTACGATTGTCTCAGTTGAGATTTCTGTGGCCTCAGAACCAGGTTAAACAATTAAATTAGGTTTAATTCCCAATACATACACATACACACATGTGTGCACACACAGAACTATTAACCTAACAGAGTTTACATAGCCCAGGGAAGGGATGGTCATTGTGAGATCTCTAGTTGGCCCAATGCTTGGACTTAGCCATTCCCAGCTGATCAGCTTTGGATTCTCCTCCTCTTTCCAGATCCTGAGTAACCTGGTGATGGAGGAGCTCCTACCAACCCTTCAGACAGATCTGCTCCCTAAAATGAAGGGCAAGAAAAATGATAGAAAGAAGGCCTGGTTTGGTGTAAGTGGGAATCATGCTCTCCAGCTGTGCTTCTCCAAATGTACATTCCCTTCCCTGTGCTTTTAAGAGCATTTTTTGTTCTTGTTAAATAATTCCTTCTCTGGGTGGAGAAATGTCTATATCAAAGCTGCTTAATCTCACTTACATAAGAACTAATCCAAACAGACTTGAACTTTAAAAGAAAACTCGAGTGTGTGTGCAGTTTTGTTTATGTTATGGGAGTCTGTGGTGAGTCCTCCCCCTGCCTCCCCTTCACTCTGTCAGGGCTTTGCACACAAAGGCTGATTCACATGTGACTCCCTTTACAGCTGCTGGAAGAAGCCTACAACCTGGTGCAGCACCAAGTTTCAGAAGGATTAAGTGCCTTGAAGGAAGAATGCAGAACCCTGACAAAGGGCCTGGAAGGAACAATTCGTTCAGACATGGATCAGATTGTAAATTCAAAGAACTTTTTAATTGGAAAGATCAAAGGTCAGTGGAGATCATCTAATTTAAAAAGCTGTATGTTTAGGGATCGGCACATGGTTAGAATACAGCTGGCTCTCTGTGTTTGTGGCTTTAACAAAGTACAGAATGAGAATAAAAGTATAGATTGAGAGTAAAAGAATTACACTGAACACATTCAGATTTCTTATCATGATTCTTTAAACAATGCAGTATAATAACTACTCCATTTACTGTATACTTACTATATAATTACTAGCATTTACCTTTTATTAGATATTATAAGCAATCTAGAGATGACTTAAAGTATGTGAAGGATACCATTGGATATGCATAGTTTATATGCAAAACACTGCACCATTTTATATTAGGAACTTGAGTATCCCTGGATTTTGGTATCCTGCGGTAGGATAGGGAGCTGGGTCTTGGAACCAATTGCCCACAGATACTGAAGGGAGACTATACATAATTTTAAAGAAGACATGAACTGAGGAAATTGGGATGAGGTAACAGTTACAATAGGAGCATGCCATAGGTATCTAGACCAGTGGTGGTGAACCTGTGTGTGCTGCAGTGGGCTCTTTGTTATCACTGAAAGCTCTATTGAACTAAATATCGACTCTTTATTTTTTATTTTTATTTTTATTTTGAGACAAGGTCTTACTAAGCTGGCAGGGTTTGGCTCAAACTTATGATCTTCTCTCTTCAGCATCCCACAGTCCTGGGATTACAGGTGTGCACTACCACACCCAGTTTATATCCAACAGTGATGGCTTCTGCCTGCCTCTCTCTGAAGTAAGCTCTGAAAGGCAGAGCCATGTTGCCCTGGTTTACTCAAGTATATAGCCAGAGCCTAGGACTATGCCTGGCATACAGAGACTCTCAGGAATGGTTGGATCGTTGAACAATGGATTGTCCTTTAACAGGAAAGCCCACCATTTCAGCTGAGCATCAATATATCTGTATTTCTAGCCCCAGCTCCAACGTTTACTATTTTTGTGTACTTGGTGGGTGGAGACTCGATCAAATTTTGTTTGCCTTGGTTGTCCTGCTCTGAAATCAAGAAGACTCACAAAGATGTGTTTGGGAAAGTGTGGTCCTGAGGCCAAATCCACCACTTGATTTTGTAAATAATATTTTGCTAGAACACAGCCATCCTCATTCACTTATATATTGTCTATAGCTGCTTTTGTGCTGTGACATCAGACTAGAGTAGTTGGAACCTCAGTCACAATTTATCAAGTACAAAGTAAAAAATATTTACTGTCTGGCTTTTGAACAACAAAGCAAAATTAAATCAAAGCAAAGCAAAACAAAACAAAATAAAAAAAAAGCTTACCTATTCCCACACAAGAGACCTTAGATGGCTTCAAAGCATCCTATTGGATAAGTTCCATGGTTCCTCTTTCTATGTAGGCCAACACAACCCAATAAATGCTCTACACCGAATGTCACTGCAAAGGAGCACAGAGGCTTATCTGTGATTATTAATGATCTTTTTAGACAGTCAGTTCACAGGTTATCACTCATTTCCTCAATTAAAAATGTTTTCTAAACATCTTCTGAGGGAGCGTTCACGGTGCGCCACTGATTAGTGCCAGTGCTCCCTGAGGCTTGCGGTCTAACAGGAGATGCTCAGCTGGGTGAATTAATTTCTGCAGGTCAGACCCTTCCATACCACAGCCAAGCTTGCTTCAGGACTTTTAAAATAGGTCCTACTGAGAGGGGATTAGAGGAATAACTGCCCCAAGCACGCGATGTCTTTGTCTGTTCACATGATGCTTTCCAAAGCCAGATAGAGATTAGCTTCAGAGTGTTTCTGTTTGTTATCCAGGTCTGACTACTCCATGAGCACAAGTGATCAGGAGTCTCAAAACACTCTGTAGAATTAAAAAGCCCCAGCACCAACTCCTGTGCCAAAATTTTGTTGGGGGTCCAGCAGGGCCTAACTGCGGCCATTCCTGTGGCTGGAATTAAACCATTCTCTCGTTTACGTTTCTGTGGCTCCCAGGTATCCTGATAAAATGGGAAAAGCTTCCTATTAGTGGTTTCCTGAAAGAAAGCTTGAAAGAAAGTAATGATCAAATCTTTTCAACATGAAATCCAAGCAACACATTATACCCAAGCAACATTATAAGCAAGTCTATGGTTCCCTATCTTTAAAACAAGGAAGGGAACCAAAGAATGCATTGACAAAGTGCTTTAGATTTAAAAAAAAATAAAAGCAAAAATCAAAAAACTTCAGGAGTATTCAGCAATGATCTCTTCATTTCCTCCCACATGACTCTTGGAAGCAAAGCCACGGAGCTTTGTTAGCTCTGCTTCACAGTTCATTCAGTAAGCATTTATTCTGCTTCTGCAGAGTACAAGGGCTGTGAGGATTCAAAGAGGACAACATTGTTTTACTAGTAGAAGTGGATAGGAAACATCACAGATCCTAAAACAGAAGGAATGAGGTGATAGATGCTGTAAGAGAGATGGAGATAAAAAACAGGACACAGGTTCCTTCCCAACTTCAAAAACCTGTATGGGCCTGCCAGGAGAGGGCTGTATCGGCCTGCCAGGAGAGGGTGCTTCTTTAGTCTGAGGGAATTAGAAAGAATAATAGTACTGACAGTACGGCAGGAACTAACAGCGTTCCCAAGTGCTTGCAGAGGACTACATCCATGTGGAGCACTTTGAAAACAGTAAACTCATTTAATTCTTACCATTAACTCCAAGAAGTATTCTATGTTCCCCGTTTTGCAGATAAGAAAACTGAGGCAGACATGAAGGAACTTGCCTAAGGTTCCAAAACTGAGGTGTGGCAGAGTCAGGTTCAGCCCTTTAGCCCCTGCTTTTCTGGCAGCATCTGTCTGCTCCTGCTTTTGAGAGCTGCCATCACTTTGGGAAGACTCGTGGATTAATGTGTCATAACACAATGCTCAGAGATTGATGACAGCAGTGTCTCTGTGTGCTTGCCAATAGCAAGGGACACACAGGGGACATGACATTGATTCACCTTATAAGGAAACATCTGCAGACTGCAGTTTAGGAATCTCGGTGCAAATTCCAGGACATTAAGTTGTCCCAAATGACTGACATTCAGAGTAGACCTGAGGACTTGAACAAAATGTTTCCAAGCAGAGGTGGAGGGAAGAAGTCGTGGGTTACAGAACCTGGATGAAGGTGCAGAGAGGGGCCGGAGCACCTGCGGTAAGCAGGGATCGGGGAGCGCAGGCCAAGAGGAGCCTTCCCTGGCCTGCCGCATCCTCCCATGCTGCTCTCTGCCCCCCTCAGGTGAGGCTGGCCAGCTCTGCGTAATCATCACCGTGTATTGCCAATGTTCAGCATTATTCTGAAGTTTTAATCAGATGTTTTTCAAGTGGTTTCTATAGGGAAGTTAATTAATAATTAATTTATTCTCCTGGCAAACAATTTGCTGCTTGCCATCAAGGAAGACATTTTTACAAGAGTCATAGGTAGCTTTATATTTGATTAAAAGGATTTTTTTCTGTTAGTTCTATGACCTGTTCAATATTTTCCACCCTGAATATATATGGTGGTGGTGTCTCAAATTCAAATTCTCAGAATCACAGCTGTAATCTGATCCTGCATAGCAACGACAGATTGCTACAAACCAAAATAAGAACGTGGCTATTCATCTCACAATCAGCAAGTTATTTTCTAATAAGAACTTAAAAATACGCTTGTAGCTCTGCTTTTGAAAATTAAGATATGAGTTTGGCCCAGTCATCTACTCAGCCAGTTTGTGCGTCTCACTTTCTAGTACATAGAGCATCTCAGTCTCTTCTGCTGAGTCCCTACTTCAGAACCAGAGTGGTCAGGAGAGTCCTCCTGCACTGAAAGCTAAGCACCAAAAACTAAACGGTCTACCCAGCCTCACTGGGAAGTGTCTTCACTACACTCTCTGAGCTTTTTTGTTTTAACTGGAGATGAGGTGATAAACTGAATGAAATTTGGTTTCATTTTCCTCCCAAGAAAAGATTTACTTGTATTTTTAAAAGTCTCCTAGGGGTAGGAGAAATGGAATGATTTTGACCAATTAGCTCTTAGAGAAATGATTTAAAACTTTTATGGTGAATAGAGGAGAGATGCCTTAGCTGTCAAATAGCTCCAGGGGGCGCTGTTCAGCCTGGCCTGGCTTTGGTACCTCTGAATGAGATTTTGTTCTCCATCACTTTTTCTTATCTCAGCCATGGTGGCCCAGCCAGCAGAGAAAACCTGTGGGGAGAGTGTGCAGCCATTCCTGGCGTCCATTCTGGAAGAGCTCATGGGGCCGGTGAGCTCAGGTTTCAGTGAAGTACGCTCATTGTTTGAAAAAGAAGTGGATGAACTCAGCCAGAGCTTTCAGACCACCAAGGACAGCGCCCGGCTGAAGGAGGTAGATCTCAAAGCTGCGGAAATGATGAGTGGCTTCTAGGGCTGTCTTTCCTGTGGTGCCTGGCCTGCCTCTCTCCTTTCCTCCCTCCTCCTCTGACTCCTCCTTCCCTTCTCTCTCTCCTCCCTCTTTCCTTCCCTCTGCTGTTCCATACATCTAACTACCCCAATCATTCACCTATCCATCCACCTAATTTTCTTTATTAATGATTTCAAATTTCAGAAATAATAACATACTTGTATGGATGAAGCAGTAGACTCAATATGATATATATGTGTATATAAAATTAATCACCACCACTGATACCGTTAGTTTTAGTCCACCCCCAACTCAAGTCTAGTGAGTCAGAAATTCTGAAGGTGGGGCCTGGGTATGATTTAACAGGACTGCCAGAAGATTTGAGGCCCCTCCAGTTTAAGAATCAGTGGCGTAAGATGTTTCAACTGGGCGGCTTGGTTTTATACTTCGCGTGATTCACATCCCTGCAGGCTGGTGGACAACACCAGATACTTGGTTCTGTTCCTTTTTCTCCTCCTTCCCTTCCTGCCCTTTCCTCCTGCCTTCCTCCCCTTCTCTCCACTCCTTTCTTCTTCCTTCCTGATATCACTAATAATGAATTTTCCTTTGGTAAACATGTAATAATTGTGTATATTTGGGTGATATCATGCGGTAATACAGTGGGGAACAACTAAGTTGGATTAACATTTTAAATTCCTCAAACACTGTTTCTTTATGATAAATCTTCAAGCACTTTTAGTTCCTCATAAGAATATAATAGTTGTAAACTATAATCACTGTGTGATCTCTTTCTTATTTCTTAATGTCAGCATACATGTATAATTGTCCGTAAACAAGATAATTTCTTAAATACTTGGAGGTTTCCTATTACAACTTGTCTTTTTAAACTTGCCTTTACTCTCTCTTCTTTCCCAACACCAACTTCCTTCCCTGGAATTGCCAACATTATCAACCTCACATAGTTTTGCACACACAGAGGCTATTTTCTTACACTGTTTACTTTGAGAAAAAATGGGGCTGTATTTTATATACTATTCTGCTTATCCGTTTTTCAAAGCTACTTCATGAAACTATTTCTAAGGTAACTGTTCTAGCTCTAAATCATTTTTGTGATGGCTACATAATACCTCATACATGGAAACATCAGGATTTGTTCAACCATCCCACTGTTGCTGGCACCACAAACAAAGCTGCAATAAATAAGCTTGTACATACATCCATGTGTCCCAGTGATGTTATTTCTATGGGAGAGAGTCTTATCCTGGAAAGTGTATTTCTTGTATTAGCAAATGTTTTCATTACATTCCAAAAAATTATATTCTATTAATTGTGTATAGCTGGGAACTTCCTCCTCCATGTCACCATCAGTGATGAGGGGCATCATTTGGCCATCTGGTAGGAGCAAAGTGGCAACCCATTTTTCCTGTCCTGCCTGCTTAATTGACATTTTTAAAATGGCATATTCCTTACTGCATGACAAGAGGAAACTTCTGTGGTGTGCTTGTGATCATTAATTTCATGTCGTTGGACCCCTCCGTAATTCACTTATGAAAGGGAATAGTCTTTCACTTTGAAAGTGCAATGGGAATGGGCCCTTCTGCCATCCCTGTCTGACAGTGCGTTCTCATTCACCCGGCCTTTCTCCCAGCTCTCCCTAAGCCTCCATTCTCAGGAGCATTCTGTCTTCTTCTCTACCCACTCTCCTTTTCATTTTGACCCTCCAAGATTCAATGTTTTAAAAATAGTTTAAAATAAACCTAGAAAACAGAATGCCTTCTGTGGCAGCAACCCTGACAGTGTTAGAGTCTATTGATGACACTTGACTTCTGACCTGGGAAGCTGTGTGGCCTTGCTGATTATCAGTTGTGTAAACTGAGTGGGAAGAGACCATGGCTTTTAAGACCTCTGGCCTCTTCCTGTCTTCCCCTCCCATACACTAGCACCATGGAGCAGCCTGCAGCAGGTGAACAGAAACCTTCTATGCATGGACAATTTCAGAACAGTGGGGCACCCGGGTTTTTTGCTCAGAGTCTAGGAGTCCCGGGATCATTCTAACCTCCTTGAGGTTGATTGTGAGGGATGTCACTCTTTAAAAAAGACAGCTTTGGAGGCCGTGGGCCCAGCAGCAATTCTGTGCTTAGTTCATGAGCGCTGAAGCAGGAGCTCTGAGTCCACTGAGAACTAGGAAGGCTGGACACCCCCACACCTAGTGCGCCCCTGGGTCTTCCTGTCACCTGGCTGGCTCTTCCATGGGTCGCTATGACAGCACTGGAACTGTCTTGGTGACCCAATGAAGGAGACAAATAACACAACTGAAGATGTAACAGATGTGGTGGTGCCAGTAGTGATTCTAATAACATACGTGTGACCGTTTTAAACTTAGGTATTATACAATCTAGATGAAATATGGCTTCTAAATCTGAAGTTATTTCTTTTTTCCCCTTCATCAAACTGTAGCATCTAGGCCAGCTTATGAATCTGCCGCTAGATTCGGTGAAGATGGAACCTTGCTACACTAAGGTCAACCTACTTCATGAGCACCTGCAGGATCTCAAGAGCCGCTTCAGATTTCCACACATCAACCTGGTGGTCCAGAGGACACAGAACCACATGCAGGAGGTGGGAGCAGCAGGGCACGCACAGTGCTTGAGGACGAGCACGCTGCAGAGGAGGCGGTGTCCTGGGCGTGTCGGGGAAGTGAGGCCCAGTTCCTTAGTCATATCAATTGAGGTCACTGCCCTTCCAGCTGCCTTTGACTTTTTTCCATGTCGATGAACAACACAGAGAAGAAATATCTCAGAAAAAGAAAGTAGCACTGATTGATAATTATTTAATTGACAAATAAGTGCTTTTTACCTTCGCTGCACATTAGATACACTTGGAGAGTTTTTAAGACATACCAACGCTCCTCCCTCATCCCTGGTGACTCTGAATATATGTGTGTTTGTCTGTGTATTTGTATTTTCTTCTTGTTAGTGCATAGTGATTATGCACAGGTGAATGGGTTTCATGCTGACAGATTTGTATATGTGTGTAACCTATTCAGATCGTTCGCACCCTATCACCCCCCTTGCCCTCTCTCTGCCTTTCCCTTCTTCTCAAATAGTCTTCCTTTTATTTTCATGCCACCTCCCCTTTATAAAAGATTCCACATTTGAGAGAAAATATGATATTTGTCCTTCTGAATCAGTGTATTTCATTTAATATGAAGATCTCTGGTTCCAGCATTTGAAAAAATTTCCCCATTCCCATTTCTGTTGTTTCTAATATGCAGCCATAATTCAAATTCCTGTGATTGCCTAATCTGGTAAAGAATCAACCAGCCACTCAGATCAATTTATCCCAGCTTCCTATTTGAATTTGAGTCTTGGATAGGTTGCTTCTCCCCCAAGGAATTTTTTCACCAGGAGCAAGAATGCATACCACAGACTCTTTCCATATTAGTGTGTTTCATAAATAAAGCAAGGGCATAATCAGACACAGTCCAGCCTGCTCACAGATGCTCTAGGGGGAGCTCTCCATGGACTGGACACTGCCTAGTCCTACCCCAGGGGTTAATACAGAGACAGGTCCTTAGATTAATTCACTGCAGTGTTTTAAGTAAAGGTTTGTGAGTGCTTTGGGATTGGCCACAGGTTTGGAAAGAAATGAGTACCCCCCCCCCGCTAAAGGTTAGGGTAGGATTAATCAATGTAACTTATTATCCAACCTCTGAGTAATAAGAGACTAAAAATGAACAAGGAACATAGCAGGTAGTGATTTATCAGCAGTTCCTTTGGTAATAGTGGGCCCTGAGAAACAGATACAGGCATAGCTGCAGAGAATAAGATATCTAAACTGACTCCATTTCCTGACCCATGGGCGTGTCAGCCAGTGCCACCAAGCCCTGACCTGCCTCCCTTCCCAGCCCTGCAGAGGAAAAAAAAAGTGTGTGTGGAGGGGATATGTGAGGTAGTGGGGTGAAAGGAACCGGGGTGGGGGTGTTACCAAGTGGTTTATGTCAAATAAATGTGGAGGTGCCGCTGGAATGGTTGAGAGAAGGCTCCCACCTCATCTCCTTAATCTGTGGCTGCAGCAGCAGAAGAGGGTGGAGGAGGGGAATGACCACAGGAGATGATGCAGTCTCTGTCTCGGTCCTGGGTTTCCCCGGTGGTGGAGCAGATGCAGGAGATGAGAAGAGACTGCATCGTGCTGACATGCATACCTGTGGGTGGCTGGGTGCGTTTCCTGCCTTGCCTCGAATGGTGTTAGTTTCACAATGCAAGTAGTGGGATGAGGACCCGTCACCCTGTGTCGCCTCTTGATGGCTTATCTGAGTGAGGCCAGGCAGACCGCGGGCTGAGGTGCAGCGGGCGCGTCTGTGTGTTTTGATTTTCAGCTCATGGAGAATGCAGTGTTCACGTTTGAGCAGTTGCTCTCCCCGCATCTCCAAGGAGAGGCCTCCAGAACTGCCGCTGCCGTTGAGAAGGTGAAGCTCCGAGTCCTGAAGGTAAAACTTTTGTCTCACCTAAGCGAAGCATCAAACAAAAATGTGACCTCTGTTTGTTTTGCTAAGTACAAAACACCCCACTCTCCCTTTTACTCAGCCTCCCGCTTCTCAGAGTGACGGGGTTTCCCCAGCCTGTTCTGCCACCTAGTGGCTGCTTTAGGGACCACAGTTTCTTGATCTTGCCCACATTTGGAAGGACAGGGCCTGGTTTACTTTCACAGCCATTGGACTTGACAAAACAAACGTTTACTGGCTGTGCATTAAAAGCATTATGACGGATATCGCTTGCCTTATAAAAATAGGTAAGGCACAGTTTCAGTCTTCAAAGAGTTTGCAGTATAATAAAACCAAAATGGTCAACATATTAAGGGAAAAATCAAAACATCAAAAGAAATAAGCCAAAGAGGATACCTAGCTTATGAAATTGCTTTTAATGCACATAATGCATAAGTACATATTTAAATATTACAATAATAGGAGCTTGCACATATTAGTATTTTATAAAATTTTAAAAACCTGCCAAGTTTTGTTTGATAACCACAAGAACCTATGAGATGATTAGAATATATCTCAGTGAGGAAATGGACTTTCCAAAGGTTTACTCAAGCTCACCAAGCTAGTCATGGTGATCTTAGCACTAATCCAGTCTACTAACATGTTTACTGTCTCCTGCTTATCCTACATAATGGTTCAGAACAAAAAGTCAAATTCCCACAAAGCCTAGGGTTGTCCCTGAATTTTATACCTCATCTTGATGCCTCACAATCTAAGCAGAACACTGCAAGCAAATCACTGAGACAAAAAGCAGTGTTGATTATGGTCACTCAAATAATAATGCGTGGGCAGTTGAGCTGAAAGAGAAAAGATAGTACTGCTGCCAAGTGCTTCAGCAGACAGAGGAGCGGAAAAAATCAAGTAGAATGGCACCCTAATTGTAGGACCTCAAGTTTGAGAAAGGACTTTCAGTGACTCTACTTCAACTTCATCTCCATGCTGTGAAGATTCCTGCCAGGGGTGGTCTCACCAGTGGTTGCACACCTCCAGTGCTAGGATACTTTCGGTCTCTCAGAACAGCTCGTTCCTTCTCTGGACACTTTTGACTATAAGAATATGCTTTCTTGTTTTAGATCACCAGTAATTCCATTTCTATTCTTTTTTTATGGTCTTTCCTTATCCACCTAGCACCTTTTGGTTCACTGAACAGAGCTATGATTGGCCTTAAGTTAGTATCTCCAGTGTAAATGACCTCATGTGACTAACCAGCCATTCCTCATTTGGCCTGATCCTTCTGCTTGCATGCCTGTCACTGTTCCCCAGGTTGTCTGTGGTCCCCTTGAGGTGACATCTAAAATCAAATGCTGGCCTCCAGTTTCAGTACACACCAGAGAGGATTATCATTTTTCTTGTTCTGATCATTAAAATTTCTTTGGTTAGGTTAGTGGGTCACAGTGTTAATGGATTTCAGAGTCAGGCTCTCTCTTACGTTGTAGAAATCATTACCACTCATTGGCTCCGCTTGGTGGACTAAGAGTAATGGATGATTGGGGTTCCCATAGGCCTGCCTAGAAAGAGTGATGAAAAACAAATTCACTCCCAAGTTCTATCCCCAACTTCTCTGTAACTTAAATGGCACTTCTGTTTTGACCTTGCCTCAGTTTCCATATCTGTAGGAGAGGAGTGATGGGTTATTATGTTGCAACTACACCTGAAGTGAACAGGATTTAGGTAGAAAGACCTCTGAGACCTTGGAAATGCTAGTCTTCGGAAATTAGGAGGGAGAAGTAGACATGGGTGGCTGTTTTTTTGTTTAAGTGAATGTTGACAGATTGGAATGCCACTATTTAGCCTATGTCTCTCTGTTGACAGCAATATGATTATGACAGCAGCACTATCCGGAAGAAGATCTTTCAGGAGGCACTGGTTCAAATCACACTTCCCACTATGCAGAAGGCACTGGCGTCCACGTGCAAACCAGTAAGAGGATGGGTTGCTCCTAAAAGTATGATTTGTTCTCTTTGGAGTTCAAAGGCATGCTTTTGCTGTACTGTACTTGCAGACAGTAAACTACACCAGGGAGGGATTGGCGAACATTTTTGGAAGTGGTCAGACAGTAAATATTTTGGGCTTTATGGTCCATATTATTTCTGTTTGCAATCACTCAACTCCAACTGTTATAAGCACAAAAGCAGCCAGATATACACAGACAATAAAATCCAATAAACTTTACTTACAAAAACAAGAAGCTGCCAGAAGCTGCCAAATCCTGGACCAAAGGATGTCTCATAGATTAATGATCTGAACTGGAGCCAAGCCAATGGTTGGTAGAGAACACCCAATGAGACCAGGTGCTCCCCATTGTAATATGACTCATATATCCAATCCTCTGATGCTTGATCTTACATATGGAAAGACTTTAGGTACATGACTACAGAAACATACTTGTTCTGTTATATCCAATGGGGTTGGCTTGCTGGCACTAACGGCACAGTTGAAGGTGCTGCAAGTGTCAGGCATGCACAGCAATGATTGTGAAGGTGTGTCAGAGACTGCAGGACAGTGTACTGGCTGAGCAGAAACTGGAGGTGGTTGGAGTCTCAAGGTTCACCCTCAGGATCCCAATTTAATTGATTTAGAGAATTAAGCATATGGCACAGTTCAATCAGTTTGGCACGGAAGACTTAGTTTATAAAACTGGGCACATCACAACAATGTAAATGTCTCAATTATTCCTTCCTACAGAATTCTTTAGCTAGTAGAAAACTTAAAGGGACTCTATTCTGAAAATATGTATTAAAATAAATTAAAACATGTATTAAAATGTATCTGTGTGACCCAGACCCTGTGCCAGTCCACCTTTTTTCTAGAATTCACAGTGTAGAGGCAGCAGAGAGGCACACAGGAGTTCCAGGGAAGGTGCCCAGCTCTGTGTGTGGGATCGGCAAAGACTTTCCAGAGGACTGTGCTTTCACCCAGTCTTGAGGGATGAATGGCAGTCAAGGGAATAAGAACCAGGAAGGAAAGAAGAAAGAATGTTCCAGGCATAGCCTGTGCCCTGCATTTAACAGAGAAAAGGACAGAGGTTCGGAGCAATGACATGCTTATGCAGGGTTCCGTGGAGAGTCCTGAGAGGAGTCCAGTCTGCTGAGCAGTTCTTTTTCCATATCTGTGCATCACTTCCGTCTCCTAAACCCTCGAGGGCTCACTGAGGTCTTTGGCTTTCCTCTGCAATGGGTATAAATGGAATCTATTGTTACCGCCTGGTAATACAGGACGATCCTGGGCCACAGCACCTCCAAGTCTTAGCACTAAAAGTTATCTGATGGTGGTAGCTTCCGATCACCTGATAGAAAACCTGTCCATTTGGCAAAAGGAATTATGTCTTGCTGCTAAATTCCTGGTTCTCTAAAAGCCACATATCGGGGAAGTCCTTCCCCAGCACCATTCAGTACAAGGATTATTGGGTTAATCCTAATCTTGGAGATACAAATTGATATATTTTGATCCCTGTCCAGTTATGCTGCTAACAGGCAAACCGTTGGGAAGTTCTGGAAGCAGGGCAGGCTAAGAGATTTTGCAGCATGCCTGGCTATCTTAACAGAAATTAAGGAGCATCATTGTCAGAAGGAAAAGAATATTATTTAAGAGGGGCTGGGGATTTGGCTCAGTGGCATAAGCACCTGCCTTGCAAGCGCACAGTCATGAATTCGATCCCTGGTACCAAAAAAAAACAAAGAATATTATTTAAAAGTACTTGACTGGAGACTCTCTAATCAGAAAAAGGACCACATTCTAATAAGGTTAAACATCCATTTATCCCATGACTCAGCAACCTCACTTTTAGATATTCACCCTGGATAAGTAAGCCCTTAAGTTAAAAAAAACAGACTTGTATAAACGTGTTCATAAGAGATATTCATCATGGTCAAAAAATAGAAAATCTCAGTGCCAAAGGAATATGGATAAACAATTTTGATTTATCCATATAGTGAATGCTACTTATCAATAAAAAGAAAAGAGCTACTGATATATGCAGTAATTAGGAAAAATCTGAAAAGTAAACACAAAAAGGATCTAGTTTATTTCTCTAAAGTTCATGACTTAGCAAAGCTCATCTATCATGAGCTGTCAGATCACTGCTTACCTCTTAGAGGGCTGTGGGCTGGGAGGGAGTTTAGGGAATCTTGGGGGTAATGTAAATGTGTTTCTTTTTGATCTGGGTTATAGCCAGATGGGTATCATTAATATCACTGAGATGTTGCTTTAAAACTGTGTGTTTTACTCCATATAACCCATCCCTTGGTAAAGTACTTTAGCATTAAATAAAAAAACAAAAAGAAAACACTTTGGCTATGCAAGGAAAATAGGTTTCAGACCTACTGACAAGGCCTTGAGATAACTAAAGTTTCTTCTCTCTTCCCCCTTCAAATGTATGTGAGGTATGCCCAGTGTGAGAAAAGGGAAGGGAACCACCAGGTGCCAGATGGCACCCTGTCATTTCCAGCTAGCAGATACTCAGCAGACTGATTGAAAGGAACACGAAGATTGTAGAGTTGACGTATTTCACGTCCTTGGCCTATGGCCCGACGTTGCACTGCTCCCTGACCCTCTGAGGAGAGGACTCCCATGAAAATTGTCCTTTCCTCGTCTCCTCTGAGGAGCCTCATGCTTTTTCCTCTTTATCTTCTTTATCTCTTGCTCTCCAGGAGCTTCAGAAATATGAGCAGTTCATCTTTGCAGATCATACCAATATGATCCACGTTGAAAATGTCTATGAGGAGATTTTATATCAGATTCTCCTTGATGAGACTCTGAAAGGTAAGAAGGGTTTACCTGGTGCTGGAGGGCGCTCCCCAGGGAGGGAGCACCCCTGAAATGGAACTCAGGAAGGCTGTGAGGTAAGAAAGGGGAAACATGTCAGCATTAGTCAGGGAAGATCTGAGAGAGGAGAGAAAAGAAGGAAGGAGCCAGCCTCGGTCAAACATTTGTGATCTGGCACACACCACTCCAGTCCTTTAGACGGGAATTCTTCTTTCAATACCAGTGCAAACTCTCAGATGGGAATGTTAATCTTCATTTTTCAGATGAGAATAATACAGTTTAGAGGGAGTATATCTAAGGTGTCTTGTGCAGGGCTGTCATCTTGTACTGTACCAGACAGAATTAAGGAGAAAGGGCTGTTAGGCACAGGCTCATAACCCCTCTAGGGGGAGGGCAGAAATGTCTTCAGCAGCAGGGCCTGAGCGCTGCTCTCTCAGCAAATTCCTCACCTCCACTTGGCCAGACAGAAAAAGCCTGGGATAACACAGTGCCCTTCGGGTCTTGATAGCACAGTAGCACCCAGTGTGCTGTGGAATCTGGCCTTGCCTGGGTTTGGAGTGTGAATAGGAAAATGTTGATAAAATATGCTGAAGAGTGTCACTATCAAGCTGTGGGCCTGAAACCTATCTGGTGTCCATTGGGGAGGTCCTGCGTATCACCCAAAGGCCTCCCTTGGGAAAACTGGCCAACCACAAGCCCACATCACATAGCTAATCCCAGGGATCCAAGGAGCTAGGGAATGCAACAGAGTCATCATGGCAGCTGCACAAAGGGGGCCCGAGACAGGGCATGGCCAGCCCACCATGAACGCCTTTGGGGAATTTGCAGACAACTTCCCTTCAGACACCTTACGTCCTCTGTGAGAAAACTGTCATAATGTGTTGATTTTGTTAGAGCAGGAAAATCTATTGCCAACTGCTAAAAAATTATGCTGCACACACAAATCTATGTTGTCTCCCATATGAATGCCATTGCCTAGGGTGTGGAAGTGGTGAGCATCAAAAAACCTGTACAAGTAGCTCCTGTACAGCCATAACCAGAGACCTGTTATCATAAAGGTTGGCTGTTTTTGGTGTTTCTGCTTTGCAGTTCTTAAGGCCTTTGAGGCCAAGGTAGATGTACAGATATCTTCATTTTGGAAACCACAGCCTAACAAGCCTCTTCCAGCTGCATCCTCAAGACCTCAAATCCTATTACACATTTAGGACTGTGCTGTGAGAAAGAACAGAGAAGTGAAATACCTGCCTCTGTCCTAAATGTGTTCCAGTCTAGGTGAACAAACTGAACTACATGTATTAGCAGCTAATTAAATGTCACAAGGGCCTCTCTAAAAGGAATGCATGGTACTGTTATATAGACTTTGAAAGCAAAGGCCGTATTTTATTCACCTCTGGCTTCTTAGTGTCAGTCCTATTGTAGATGCCTAGCAAATGTAGGCTGTTTGAATAAAGGAAGAAATGAACCTACCAAGGTTCAGAGTCTGGGAAGAGTGTGCAGTCTTTGGTCATGAGAGAAGGCTATCTGCAGAGGGTAGACTATCTGTATCCTGAAGTTGAGAATTTGTTTAGAGAGGCTAATGGGGAGTTTGGCTTCTGGAAAATCAGAAAATCCAGGTTGTCCAGAAGTCTTATTATCAAGTATTGTCTTCTGGTATTTTTCAGTGATAAAGGAGGCTGCTATCCTGAAGAAACATAACTTATTTGAAGACAACATGGCCTTGCCCAGTGAAAGTGTGTCCAGCTTAACAGATCTAAAGCCTGCCATTGGGTCAAACCAGGCCAGCCCTGCCAGGACAGTGTCTGCCATTGTGCCTGGAGCTCTAGATAGTGAGACTCCAAATAAGGAAGTGTTCCAGGAGTCAGAGGAGAAGCAGCAGCCTGAGGATCCCAGTTTATTGGCCAAACAGGAAGGCCTTTCTCTCCCTGAGCCCAACTCTGCCCTAAGTGAGAGTGAGCAGATGACAGTCTCAGGCACAGATGACCCTGCTGTGACTCCTGTGGCTAAAGAGGACGTGGAAGAAACCCTGGTTGTACACTCATCAGAGCCAGAAATGGGAGGGGCTTCTGAAAATGAAGAGCCCACCCATGAAAAGCCAGAACCCACCACTGCCTCAGGATCCTTGAAGGAGCTCAGAGATTTGCTGACGGTGACTGTTGAAGTGCCAGTGCAATCTGCTGTGGTGACTGCAGAAGACACAGATGAGAAGACAGTGATTTCCCAACAGAATGAGAAAGAAGAGGAAAAAACCCAGATCAACACAGAGGCCAGTCAGGCAGCCGCCCCTCTGGAGGACAGTCGTGAAGAAAGCGAAGTCAGTGAGCGGGAAGCCCATTCTCCTCCTCCAGAGGCTCAGGTACCCGCGGTAGACTTGGGGGCATTTCCTGAGCTGAGCAGCCCTGCTCCTCAGCCAGCTTGTGGCGAGTTCACTGGACATCTCACAGAGGACACCAGCTGTCCAGACCACACAGCAGAGCCAACAGAGGCCATAGAATCTTGTGAGATGGAGCTTGCAGGGAGGGCTGCCACACTGGATGCCATTGAAGGAGAAGAGGCCCCTGGGAGTGCTGTAGAGGGCCAGGCCACGGGTGAGGAAGGCGGTCCTTTCCATTCTGACCCCATTTGCCCCGCTGAGAGCCAGGTTCCTGAGGAACAAGAAGTGATGGGAGAGAGAAGTGTTGTGGCCCCAGCTGTGACCAGCATGGATACAGAGGCTGTGAAGCCTGCCCACTTTGATGAATGTCAGCAGGTGGCTGAGAATGCTCCACACACAGATGCCCTAGATTCATTTAAAGATGATGTGAAGGCGGGAGAAAGTTGCCAGCAGAGCTCCCCAGAGCAGCCCTCAGAGGAGTGAGAGGCACGGTTTGGCAAGTCTTTCTTTAAACAAAGTCAAAGGGTTATAGTTAAGGGTATATGAGGGAGTTGCATGTGATTTACCTGAAAAACAAATTATGAAATATTTCTTTAATCCTAATAATGAAGCCAGAAAAAGTGCACATAGGCTACGAGCACAGAGACCAGCCTTTGTGGAACTGAACTGCCTCACCATCCTGTATGGCTTTAGCATTTTTATAGGAATCACAAAGGCGCTGGAGTGTTGGGGTGACGGGAAGCAGGAGGGGCGCAGTTCTCCATATTCCACACATTTCAGTGGTGCAATTTTCTACTGCACTTTCAGGCTTTTTAACTTTTCTTAAAAATGCAAATGTATGCTGTAATTTCTGCCTCACCATTTCCATTTACTCTATCACTTCCTGGCCTCTTAGGGACTCAACATTTGTCCCTAGGCAGGCTGCAAAAAGAGGAGGGTCATGAGCACCAGTCGCCCCTGATGTGTGCAACCCACAGAACCATTCATACCCCATGCAGGTCTCAGGAGAGCTGAACAGAAGCCAAGGAGGAAGGTTGGGATCTGTGGGACTGTATGGGCCTTTACTAATTATGCACCCAATTTCTTGTTAATTAATTGTGTGGATTTTTATCAATTAATTACCTTTTAAGGAAATTCAGACGAGGCAACGAAATTGTATTGGCAAGTGTAAGCCTGAAAGCATTCCAAATTAGTCTTAGACTGTGCAAAGAGCTTAGCTAAAATTATGAAGCTTAAAGCCTACAAATTAAATAAATGTTATTTGAATAGGCACTGCACGCCACACACTGTGTTAGGCATAGTAATAAAGAAAAAATATAAAGTGATTTGTCTCATATAAAAGGCTTGTGAGAATTTAGAAGAAGAAATCATGCCAATTTTCAAGCCATGATAACTTTCTTTTGTTCCACTGGTTTGTTTTCAGATAAGGAATCAATGAATCAATGAATCAGTGAATCAGTGAATGAATACAAAAGCCAAGGTATAGCTCACCAACTTCCAGTGTAACTAAAATTAGAAATCAGTTGTTCATTTGGAAAATTAATTGAATCCTTATTAGGTACCAACTAGTGGTGATACCCGATTGAGAAGGTCACTGTTCTTTTCTTCCTGAAAGCAAATAGAAATGTATCTTGTAAATGGATAGTAAAACGTAACTGTTAATATTAAAAATGAAATGGACTTACTTGCATAAATCTACAAAAAAGACTTCTTTAGAAAAACTCCAGGAGGGGATGGGGGTTTAGCTCAGCGGCATAAGCGCCTGCCTTGAAAGCAGGCAGTCGTGAGTTCGATCCCTGGTACCGATAAAAACGAAAAAGACAAAAAAAAAAGAAAGAAAAACTCCAGGTTATTCCCTAAGCATTTCAATCCCAGGTACTATATCTTGAAGTTTCCTTCCACAAATTTTAGTATTACATTCTAATATATTGTATAAGAGCTTGTTTTGATTATCACCACCAAGCATACTTACATTAATTCTTTAGAGAATTTGTTCCACAGTTTAACCATTTAACCAGGAAAGAAAATATTTCCTTGCATAGAATTCTTCCCATGAGGGCTGGGAATTTAGCTCAGCGGCATAAACGCCTGCCTTGCAAGCAAGCAGTCATGAGTTCGATCCCCAGTACCGATTAAAAAAAAAAAATTCTTCCCATGAAGAAAAAGAGGAATAATAATCAGTATCAGTACAGTTTCATACTGGATTATCTCAGTTCTGTAAGTGTTTAGACTCTGAGGTGTATGAAGGATCCCGTCACAATTAAGGAAGGTAGAGATAGATCATTTCTCCCTTGTCTCTGCTTAGCCATTACTCACTCATCTCCTGGCATTTGTCACAGTGTATTAAAATTATGTTTACTAACTGACTCTCCTAGAAACTCCTTTCTTCCAGGATTAAAATTCAGGTTTAGTCATCATTTGTGCTTCCTGCTAAAACTCCACATCCTTGAATCATGGCTTCCTGTGTGTCTAGTAACTTTAATATCCCTAGTGTGCAGCACCGGAACCGGCACACGGGATGCTCAGGAAATGGAGGAACTGAATACCCAGTACCCTGCTGTAAAAAGGCTATCCGGGGCTTGCTGTTAGACAGGGAGATGTTTTCATTCAGGCTTTCTGCCCTCATTGTGTCTTCCCTTAAATAAAGTCCAGAGTCCGAAAGGCAGATGGCCAGATGGCCAGAAGCACTACACAGCAAGGCAAGGAGCCAAAGAAGCAGTGCCCAGCCCCCTGAGGCCTGCCCTTCTTTCTGGGAGAATTGTGGTCTATGGAGCACTAGCTCAGGCCCACTCTGCCCCAGAGCATTCCCAGCCCCCCTCCTTTGCTCACCTCAGTGCTTCCTGCACCCCTTGGAAAGCTAGGAATCTTTCCAATCCTAGGAGAGTTCATTTCACTGCATTAGATGGATGAATATCAGTACCTTTCCTTTTTCCATTCTGAAACTAGGCACTAAGTAGCAGAGCATACTGGTAAACACAATACAAATCTTTTGCTGTACATATTTCACAAAGGCAAGTTCTTTCACATGAGCAGGACTGTTACATTTGAAAATGGAGTATGAAATTGAGGTGCATGAAATATTTCATGTCCGTGATACTGTGTTGAAGAGGCGACTTCATGTTATCATGCCTTTTTCTTATTTCTCACGTAGATTCGTGTGTGTTGCTTTAGTGGTTTCCAGGTGGGAGCAAGGTCATTATGATTCAAATGAGCAGCACAAAAAGCCGCAGTGCACTGCTCTGGGGATCTCTGCTATGGGCAAAGCCTTTAGAAATGCATAAAACCTCAAGACACGGTCCTTGGCAAAAACCCCATGACTTTAAAGCAGATATGCTATTAGTGACCTTTCACAAAGAATATTTTCCTTGAAAAAAATGGCTTGCCTGTGTTTCCTGTTTCACTTGGAGCAGACAGTAAGTAGTGCTTTGCATTATGCACAGTAAACTTTTTTGTTTTTTAAGGATTTTGGAGATTGAGGATAAGACTCCATTTTATCCAGAAACTTTATAAAGAGGCTGCACGTGAAGAATTGAAGAATGTTAGTTAGATTCTCTTCATTTTATTGAAGGACTCACAAACCTGGGTTTATAATTGTCCAGATGAGAACCAGTGATTTCAGAGGGTTTTTAACCATTCTTCCAGATAAAAAGTAATTACAATTCATTAGAAAAATTGCTTAATGGGCAGTGGTTGTGGCTCAGTATTAGAGCACTTAACCAGCATGTATGAATTCTTGGGTTCAGCCAGGTACTACTAAAAAAAGTGTTAAATGTTAAGTGCTACATAACAATATTAACATGGGGAAGAGAAGGACATCCCTGACTCAAAAAATCATAGTTTCACAAAGTGAGAAAGTTGGCAGCGAATGTCTCTCTCCTTTACCATAAGCAGATGGGTTTGGAGGTTTACGTTCTGAAGTCTGCAAGTTTTAGATTAAAAAAAAAGACTACACTGTGGTGGTTTTATTTTTATGGTCACTATATAAAGCAAATAAACCTAAAACACTTTGTAACCATGTATTTACTCTGCCAAGTGCCTATATTTCAATAAAATTCTCATCCATGAAGAGCGGTCCAGATGTCATTTCCTTGGAATGGGACTGGTTTTATCTTTTAAACAAATGTCATACTTAAGCTGGAAGGAACTACTCAGAAATGAAAAGGTGAGTCACTCTTGCTGTATTAGGGAAGTCTTTTCTGTTTTCAGGAAGAATTTGCAGGGAATCCACTTATTGTCAGGTGAAATTATGCTTTTATAATGCATGTGAGTATTTTTTTTTCTAGAAATTGGCTCACATCCATAACATAGCAGTGGGCAATTATTCTTGCTGTAATTGAATGACTGTTCAAACTTAAATGCATTTTCAGTGGCTGGCATTGAGTAAGCCACTCATTCTTTCTGTAATTATAAGTAAAACAGTATTTACTCACCAATATTCACAGTTGCTTATTTACCCATGAACTCATTCATCCAAAAAATGACTGTATTGTATATAGGCACTGTAGTGGTTGGTGGAGAAATAAAAGTGAACACAAGAGACATGATCACCAATATCAGCAAAATCAGATTCTCAGGTTGGAGAGAAACTAAAAGGGATATTTATTTCCTCATCTGACATAAATCTTTCATATAATCTCAGTTTTAAGTTTATGGCTGGTTATAGACAGAGACAGATATGAAGGAGAAACAAGTCCATCAGTGATGGAGACACAGCGTGGCACACACGGTGTCATTCCCCCTCCTCTCACCACCTTTGTGTGCAAACATCATTCTCAGGATGCCCCTTCCAGATCTTCTACTTGGGGCCTATAAAGCAGGTTAGAATTGGGGTTGAGGGATTCTTCTGCTCTGCAGAGCTTTTTCCTTAGATTATATGTTTATTGGCTGCAGCTTAGACAAGACAGATGGAGGCCTTGAGGGTGGTCAAGAAAAGCTATTTTCTCCTCAGCCACATTTGCACTTGCCTCTGCTTGACTGACTGTCGCTGAATCTTTGCCATGATTATTCACTTTACCAAAAACATCCGACACTCCATTCTCCAGCTGGCCAATTCCTACTCTTTCCTGAATGAGTCAGGACAAGTCAAGATGTATCTCCCATTTTGCTCCCACACCCAGTAACATTTCTCAGTTCTTACTTCCTTTATTTGGTTACTTCTGATTATCTCTCGTTCTACTGAGCCATGTATCTTCCTGTGCCTTTGGGCCCTGCCTTCAATTTTTCATACCTAGCAGAACAAAGGTCCTTGCATATAGTAAATGTTCAACATATTTAGAATGAGTGAATAATTAAATATTCATCCCAGATGTAGGAGGCGAGTGGAAACAGCTGATGATCGTTTAGTGTACCATATGCATCTGTGAAGCTGGTACCTTACTCATCCTCAGCCCACTGAGATAGTTCTCTTTTAATGAAACTTGACATCTGTTTGTACACACCCACACCTCTGGGAGGGAGCTTCAAAGGGAAGTGCCCCCAAGTCAAGCTACCCATTATCAAGTAAATTTCCACTGACTTTTCCTAAGGCCCCAACGATGTAAAATACAGAAAGAAAAGGTGAAGACATTCGCCCTTACATTGTATCTTCTGCAAAACACGAGTCAGTTTTCATGATAAGCATCTGCCTTTTGGCTGGCTCTCAGATGATTGCTTTTTAGAGAGCTCAGTCTAGTAGGAAAGATCTAGAAAAAATGGTGGTTTTGAAGGAGAGAAAGAAGGGTCCTGGCAGCAAAAATGAAAGGCAACTACAGATTTTATTCAAATAGTGTAATTTCAAGTTTGACTGTTAAACCTTGTAGCCTGCCCTTTATTATTGCCTATTTTATTTTTGTCTCTGTCATGACTAAAACCTAAAATCCAGGTTCTATAGAAATCATAAAGAAAATTTTCACCCAGATTTCTTTACCCAGCCTGTCAACACCCTTTCCGGGAATTGAGTCATCCGTAAACGCTGGTCCAGACCTTCTGCAGACACTGTTGTTTGTTCTCTGGTCTCCACACAGAACAGTACACATGTATGGTTGGCAGGTCTCTCTGTGTTAGCCTGCAGGAAGGAGGGAGGCACAACACAGCCGAGAGGGCAAAGTAGGTCTGCGTGTTGAAGAACTCCTATGTGACGAGGAGAAGACTTGTAACAGTGATAGCTTCTGCTGAAGCTTCACCCCTTCCTCTCCATTCTGTGCTGCTGTCTTAACCATGCAGGTAGATTTTTCTGTGATTTTACAGAGATCATGTAAGAAAAAGGAAGATGTTTTTATTTCATTGGAGGCCTCAAGTTTTGTTTTGTGGCAGTACTGGGGTCAGACCCAGGACCTCAGACATGCTAAGCAAGCACTCTAGGACAACTACATCCCAAGTCCACTTAAATTTCTATCTTGACACCAGGGTCTCACTAAATTCCCCAAGCTGGCCTGGAACTTGTAATTCCTCTGCCTCATCCTCTTGAATACTTGGGATTCGGGGGTGTGCCACCATATCAGCTACATTTTGAATCCTTTAATTTCGTATTTGAGTGTGACCATACATGTCTTCAATGTAACATTACTTAGTATTCATTCATGGATTCTTTCAAACACTTCCTGATATCTACTAATACTTTGACTATTCTGCTAGGCCCTGGAAATAGGCAAAAACAAACAAAACAAAAGAATCCTTGCCCTCATTCCATTAAGACATATGATTATCCTTTCTGTACTGAAATTATCAACTGTTTAAATAGATGGATACTCTTAATACAAACAAGCCACTCTCCTTTTCAAACTGTATTTTGGAATTCTTTATTAAATTTGCTTATAGAAATGGTGTACTTTCTTTGAAGTCTTTTATAAGAAAGTTACATTGATTCAAATTGCTTAAACCTTAGTAAGAATTCATTTGTTTTACAATGGGTAAATACAAGGGCTGGGAATTTAGCTCAGTGGCATAAGCACCTGCCTTGCAATCAGGCAGTCCTGAGTTCGATCCCTGGTACCAATAAAAAAAAAAAAAAAACAGTGGGTAAATACATCACAGGAGTATGGTGAGGATTGAAGATAATGTATAACAGACATTTTAGCACAGATGAATAAAATCAGACTCAGAAGTTAAGCAACTTCCTGAAGGTTACATAGTAACGGATGTGCCATTTAGCAGTCGGTTACAAAACAAACCACTCCAAAACTCAGCAACATAAAATATTAAGCATGTATTTATTGCTCTGAGGACCACAGGTCAAATACCAGGTAGACGGTTCTCTAATCTTGGTAGTCTCTCAACATGTTTGGGAGTTGGCTGATTCTATGTGGGGCTCGTCCACCCACAGCTGAAAAGACTAGGTCTGCTCCACGTGGTCAGCAGGTGAGTCAAGGTTTATTCTTTCGGTGGAAGGAAGGTTAAAGAAAGAGAAGGGGGGAGAGGCAATGGCTTCTTGAACCCTCGACTCAGTAGTGGTGGACCATTACTTTTTCTTTATTCTGTTGGCCAAATCATGCTACAAGGATGACAAAATTTTACAGGAAGGGAAAGCTGCAAAGCCACACTGGAGTGGGCCTGCGTCCAGGGAAGCCATTAGCTGGGGCTATTAACGCATTGTCTGCTGCACTCGGACTCACCTGGTGGCTGTTTGACTAAAACCCATATTCTTGCCTCCGCATTGCACTAACTATAAACATTTGTGCAGCCAACCTTAGCTGCTCCACACCTTTCTCAATGCCTTGGCTGTTCTAGATTTACTACTGGGTAGACAAAATACGGTCATTCTCAACTCCAAACAGTTGATCTATCAAAGAACCTTGAGTTTTCAGTGGTTTTGATAATGAATTTTCCATTAAGAGTATCTTTTTGTATTTTAAAAATCTTTATTAGTACATGTTTGCAGTATATAATAATTATAATCCTCGTGGGGAGTTGGTGCATGTGTATAACACATCTTAATTGTTTTTATTTCCCCTTTCCTTTTAGAAAAGATGTATCTCTCTATTTTCTATTATCTCTTATTTTACTCTTCGAATTACTTGTGCTTTGGGTTCTCATAAAAAGGAAACTGTAATATTTAAGCTTGTGTGTCTGATTTATTTCACCTAACATGATCTCAAGGCGCATCTATTTTCCTACAAATGACAGTTATCCTTCTTTATGGCAGAGTAGTACTCCACTGCATGAATATCACATTTTCTTTATCCATTCATCTGTTGATGGATATGTAGGCTGTTTCCAAAATTTAGCTGTTATGAATTGTGTTGCTATAAATGTAAGTATGCATCTATCACTGTGTCTTTAAATCTTATGGGAAGATACCTAGAAGAAGAATAGCTGGGTCAAATGCAATTTCTTTTTGAGGAGTCTCTATACTGATTTCCATAGTGGTTGTACTAGTTTACATTCCCACCAAAATAAAAATGTTCCTTTTCCCCCACAGCCTCAGAAACATTTATTTTCATTTGATTTCATGATGAAAGCCATTTTTTCTGGAGTAAGATGGAATCTATGTTATTTTAATTTGCATTTCCTACTGGTCAGAGATATTAAGCATTTTTTATATGTTTATTTACCATTTGTACTTCTTCTGATACTATCTATTCATTTTTTATTGAGTCTTTTGTTTGGGGGGAGCTACTTTTTTTTAGTTCTTCTTATATCTTACATATTAGCCCTCTGTCTGGGGTGTAGCTAGTGAATTTTTTTCCCATTCCATTTTTTTTCTTCATTCTGTTTTTTTCCTTTTCTGTGCAGAAGCTTTTTTAATTTGATATAATCCCATTTTTTGATTCTGATGTTATTTCTTGTACAACTGGATTCTGTTCAAAAAGTCCTTGGCTATGCCTATGTCTTCAAGAGTTTTCCCTATTCTATCTTTCAGGTTAAATGTTTCTGTTTTAACATTTAAGTCTTTGACCCATTTTGATTTTATTTTAGTAGGTGATGAGAAATGGAGTCTAACTCAATGTTCGGCAGGTAGCAGCCAGTTTACCCAGCATCACTTACTAAAGAGGCTCTTTCCTTCGACTTAGGCTTTTGGCCTCTTTGTCAAAGATCAGATGACCACTGTCAGTGCTTGTTTTGCATCCTCTCTTCTGTTTCATCATCTGC